CTGCTCACCTCGGGTGCCAAACGGACATGGGCTGGGAGCGGTTTCTGGGGCAGCTTGTGTTGGGGAAGTGGAACTAAATCGAGAAGGAGGCATCAGAATTCCTTGCACTTTGCAGCACAACAGTAATTCGACAGTAGTTCAAAACCAAATGACCCAAGATCTAAATGGGACTAGGTTTTCATCTGGAAGAGGACTTGATGGTGAGCCTAAAAGACAGACGGAGACTTTGCTGTGCAGGTTAAATATGGCGATGCTGGATGAAGTCGTGGAGGGGAATAATGAGGACTATCAAGAGGAAGAATCAAGTGCTATCGTTGAGCACATTCTGAAGGAATTGCGAGGGATCAACAAAATTCAAGAGGAGATTTCAGACTTGAGGGAGTACCTGTCATCTGTTCGTGGTTCTGTCGAGGAGGTCTCTAGCTGTGTGGATGCCGTCTTAATGGAGATTGAATGCATGCGGTCTGGAAACAAATCTGGTGTAGAGACTTGGCCAGGAACAATGGGTGGCACTGAGAGTCACTCCCACCACACACACAAATCAAATAACACTGTTAGTATAGGCTGCTACAAGCCTTACGCTGTTGAATCCTCAAGTAGCTGTGGTGATATACTCTCAGAATATCAAGTTGTTTATGGGAAGCACAAAGAGGCACCAAGGCAGTCTGCTTTCACTAGTGTTGAGACTTCAAACCACAATGAACACCATCCTTTTACAAAAGAAGCATCTAATCAAAGGTCTGATGGATCTCAAGGTGCAGGGAGTAGGAAGCTTAGCTTTGGTGGTCTTGAGCGCCAGGATGGACAGGACTGTCCAAGCACCAGTTCCCTATCTCCGGGTCAGAGTTCCAAGTCTGAATCTGATCCAGAAAGACCCACCTCTGGACATGGCAAAGCAGGGAGTGAAAGTCAGACCTGGAACCCAGTGGCTTTAAAACACAGCGGGAGTGGAGAGATCGGTTGGAGCGAAGATGATTCTTGCTCCAGACAAGCCAGTTTTGAAGAGGCAGAGTGCTGCACAGGTGAAGTGAACAGCTGGGACCCATCAAGAGCCGTAAGTACTTGTATGATGGGCACCTCAGATCAAATATCCGTAGTATCTGGTAAACACTACAACTCTCCTGTTAGTACAAGCAATAGAGAAGATTGGAAGCTGTATGATGCAGAAATGCTCCCTGAAGAACCTGGTTTGGGCTGCCATAATTGCAATGCAGATGGTAAATGTCCTCAGAGCTCTGTTTATCAGAATGACATTTATCACATGTTGTCTTCTTCTGAAAATTGCGTAGTTCCATTTAAAAGTCAGTCAATAGAAAGTGTGATTATTGAGCCATCCAGGAACCTTCTATGTGAAGGTACATCACTCTGTAATCAAAATGTCCCTGATTGGAAGCCAGACTCTGCTGATGACAGTAATGTGGCGTTTAATGTAAAAAAGTTTGGTAGAGCAGTTCTTGACTTCAGAACTGCCTTGCGGGGAGCTCTGAAGAAGATGGATGGAACTAGTGATACTTTGCCTGGTGAAAGGGTTGAAGTCCATACGCCGATTTTCCCGTGTGAGGAACAACAAGGAATGGTAAATGTTGTAAATACTGAGACACCAAAATTAGAGATGCCTCACATGGAGACTACACAAATAGAAATAAATTATTCTGAGCGGCCTCAAGCCATCAGTACTGAGAAAGGTTTCGTAGAAATACCTCAATGCATCTCCACCAAAGCAAATCCTGGATCACCTCCCCACCAGCATAATATTGAAGATTCAGAACATCCAAAATCTCCAGGGTTGGACTCATCCACAAGTAATGCATCAGATGCTACATCTGGACATCCAACCGATGCTCATTTACCACAGTGTTTCTCTACAGACATTATCCCAGACTCTTTTTCCCCCGAGGAACTAGCAGTTGAAGAGGAGCGGAGAACACTAGTAGGGGAAACGCAGTCTCCTACTGAGTCCTCTACAGACGGAGGTAGTGAAGCAGAGCTTAGTCAGCGGGAAGCACGTCGTCTGAAGTGCCTCAGGGGTTTCCAGCAGATTCTAAGGGAGAAGAGAGAGTCCAGAAGACAACTCAGTATAGTGACCATGTCAACATTTTCTGAAGATGATTTGAACCCAGGTATATTGAGTTTTGAGGCTCTAAACTTTCCTATTCATTGTTCTACTTCATTGTCACGCGTTAGAAGTTCTTTGTCTGAAATTTCAAATTTGCAGTGTTAGTGAATTTATTATGTCAGAAATGGAAAGTAAATCATTCCGATGTGTTCCATGGTTATGCACATCAAACGTGTCTCACAAATAACATTTAAACACTACATGTTCTTTTTTTATCTGTAAAATATCAGATCTCATCAGAAACTGCTGACTCTCATAGCCAGCGGGTGTTTAGTCTTTTCCTGCAGATTTATTAGCTAGCGCCCTGCTGGATGTTAAACTAGTCTTGTTCCCCAGGCTCAAACAAACTAATTACACTCATCAAATTGAAATGAAAACATATCTGATGTGAAAGTAGAGTACAGGGAAAATTTAGGAGCCATTATAAATGAATAATACATCTCAGTGAAACTTTCATGAACTGTCTAGATCAAATGAGAAATGCCCACAGTATGCATTTCATATTCTCGGTCCATATACACAAGGTTATTACACTCCCTGTCTGCAGTGCAGATGTAAATGTTCTTGGACAACAAGTTTAATTGCTTTATAATGTTACGTTTAGTTAAAGAGTGCTGTCTGGTTCTGCTTAAAAATGGTGTGATAGCTTGATGTGCTGTGCTATTTGTTGTTATTTTCAGATGGAAGCCAGCATGAAGATCAGGTTATATCTCTTTATCTTATTTACAAAGTTGATGTTTTATGTTTGCAATGCTAGAAATAAATAATGCTGTTTCAAGGTCTTTAATGTGCATGGTGCTAACAGGCTCCCTTGATTTGGGTTTCCTGCATTCTGTTTGGTAACTTGTGTCTGTGGTTTATTTAATTTTTTAAATCATGCCTTGTTCTCATAGCTTGTAGACTATGCTGCATTGTAAACATTACCCACATTTTCAGTCTGTGTTATTGATTGTGGCTCATTAAAGAATCCCTCCCAGGTATACTGTATAAAATAGAAACTGTGATGGCAGATTCATTTTAAAGCCTATTGCTGGAGTTGCTGAGTCAGAGTTTTATAGCAATGATTTTTCTCTCAACCTTTTTGTTTTGAGGGGTTCGGCATTACAGATTATTTTGCATAAGGAATTTGTTGATTTTGTTGCAATTGCATTAACAATTCATCTCTTTTTGAATAAGAAATGTTTCATTTTGTGCACAGCCTGTTGCTAAATGATGAGTTAAGAGATAAAATGGTGTGTTTGCACTTTTTTTGACACAGCACAGAGATGGCATAAATGCCTTTTCAATAATTTGTCCTAATTATATATTAAATAAAAATATTATAAATATAAAAGTATCAAAATTAAGTTATTTTCTAACTTTTTTATTGTTCTAATTTGTTCCAAATTTTGATATAATTGCTTCTTTGAAAGATGTCTTTATCTTTCTGTATTTACTTTACATCAAAAACAAAAATCCTTTTCACTTGTTAGATTTAGGATAATAATGTGCTTCTTGAAAGTAAATTAAATAGTGATTTTCTGACAGGAAGTGTACTTTATAGAGTTTTGAGTACTTGGTTCCTGAGCCCTTGCATGTCTAATCTTGTCTTGACTAGAATTGTTCTCATGACTGGAACATTCTGCTTGTCTATTCATGAATATGGTGGTGAAATTCAATCAACCAAACGGCATGGCTTTCTCTATTCCTCTTTCTCCCTATTTCCTACATTTTTATTAAGTGCTGTTTTTGTTGTCTATGTGAAGCTTTAACATTTTATATTTGTTTTAATGCATGACAATATGATCAACCTCTCAACAGAATATCAATGGAGACCATAACAAACATCCATGGGCCAAACCTGGGTATGATCTCTTGCTCATTTTCAGTTTGAACCGTGTTGTTGTTTAGCTGTTCTTTATCAAACATTTGTTTTCCTTTACTGAAATATCAATATTGTTATCTTCAGGGGAGGAGGAATATTTGGCATTGATAGCATGCCTGACCTTAGGAAAAAGAAGCCTATCCCCTTGGTTAGCGAAGTGGTGAGTGATTTTTATTTAGTTATTTATGTATTTTTCCACACCTCCACCCATATTGAATCGCAACATTCTGTCACATTTCTTATCTAATCTAACTTAAAGCTTAGCTGAAATCTGATCGGTTCTTCTTTTGTCATTATTTTTTTCTTAAATGCTTTCCTTCATTACTAGGCCATGGTAAGTAAACCTTTCTATTAGTGAATGCTTCATAATTCAAGGAATATACTGTGTGTGTGTATATATATATATATATATATATATATATATTCAGCTTTTACTCAAAGCAGACTTAAAAAGAACCCTTTATCCTACACATTTTGTAGGCATATGTTTTCATTTTTTAGGTCTAAAATGTTATTTTAGCTATAACAGGGTGTCCTAAAAAACATAATTTAAGAAGATTCCAGTGACAAGCAATTTGTCTGTCCACATTGAAGGCGAAAGTGCTTTTTCACAAAAAATATAATATAGATAGATGTAGATTATATGTCAAAAATGATTTGAGCTCAGTTTCATTTTCAGTGTGTGAGACCATCATGTTTGGATTTGCTGCTCAATTGTGGTGTGTTTGCAGTGAGCAGTAATGCAATATCATCAATGAATGACCGCGTGACATCCTGTCTCAGAAGGGTTTGATATTGCAAGTGATCTGTTTTTGTTTAGAATGGATTTTGGTGTTCACGTAAACGCGTCAATGTAATTTTCCATCAGTCTTGTAATTGAATGTCTTCTCTTTACCCTTAAAGAGGGACATCTTATGTGACTGGTGCATTAAAAACCTGACAAGTATGCATACGATTGAGAAACGGAGCTCTATTTGAAGTGCTTGTCTTCTCCTCCAGTTCACTGACATGCCCGTGAGTCAGAAATGGGGAACTTTCATCAAACAGTCTTTGTTGCTACACAATAAAACTGAAACCCACACAGATACATTTGACATGCTGTGGAGAGGACAAAAAAGAATAAATGCAAAATAAAAACAGGCTTTATCTGAAGCTTGTGACTTGCACAACAGTTTTCATGGCAACGAACGCTTCTTCTTTGTGTGTGAAAGTTGTTTATAAAGTGTGATATGCTGAATATAAACAAAGGTTATTGCACAACTCTGGAATACTTGATTATGAATGGTCAGTCACTGAATTCGGTAAGCAAATATTTCTGTGAAATGAATCCTGGATGCTAGAATTGAATGTTGCCTTAAATGATTTCCTTCTCCTAATTTAATGTCAGTGTATACACAAATTAAAACATTTTATAATTAAAAGTTAATATATATTAACTAGAAGTCACAAAAAGCAACATTATTCTATAATCCATTATCCAATAATAATACATTCTGTAGATGTAGTGTTCATTGGTTAAACAACCAATGTGTTGCTTAATGTTAAGATTTACAATATTATTGTAAAGTTTTACCCATAATTAGAGCTTTTTAGAATTGTAAGAGATAAATATTATCATATATGTTTTATGTTTTTTTATTTTATGTCTAAATTTTAATACTTTTTGGTAATAATAATTTAGATGTACCTTCCTAATGATATATAAATGAAAAAATAAAAAAAGATTTCATTGTATTTGTGTGACGCTGCAACTTGATTTTTTTTTCTTTTTGTTTGTAGAAATTACATTTTCTCCTAGCATTGTAGTATCGTTCCTTGTAGCTAGCTTTCAGGCCCTTTTTTCATTGACTGAACCTTAGCGAAGACCTGCCAGTCCCCTCACTCACCCTGTACAACTCACAATTGACTTGCTGAGCAATTGATGGCACAAAGAAAAGCTAAAGCCAGCCATTTGCGTGTTTTGAATCGCTGTCATTAGCTGTGAGAGGCCAAATTGTGCTCTTATCTCTGTTCTCATGGAAAATCAATCTTTGGAGTATTGGTCTGCCTTTAGCTATGTAACAATCATTGAGACTTTTTTTCAGCATGTTGTATCAACGGTCTTTCTAGGCTGGTTTTTGTGTGTGTTGTTGGTACTATTCTTTGTTAGGGTATTAGTAATTTACAAAGTTATCTATGAAATGCTAAAAGCTATATAAGTAGACATGGTGCCCTTAATGGCCGCATATTGTTTAGCATATTAATGGGAATGTACTGTAGTAGACACAGGCATGGAATAACATTTACCACATGTTTAAGGAAACATTACCGACAATTTGTGCTCCCACTGGGCGAGCGCAAAACCATTGTAGTTTAATGAGTACTACTATTGCTAAATGTATAATTAAGCACATGTTCATATTCAACCTTTGTTCCTCTCTCAGTCTCTTGTGCAGTCCAGGAAAGCAGGGATCTCGCATGCATTAGCTGCACGCTCTTCACTAAAGGATGAAGAACTGGTAAGACATGCAAAATATACAAACATCTATCATCTATCTGCTTCTCACTTTATCAAGTTGTTAGTCATATTGAAACAGAAGTAGTGACAGAGCTTTTCTTCTGTATTATGACATACATTTGAGTGAAACAGGTTATCGAAAAAGGAAAAAATGGAGGGCAGGACTTGGTTCTATCATTGGTTGTTGATTAGATGTAGGCAGATCTAAATGGCAGTATATTGTGGGTGGGGTTTAAGTGGACTAAATGATTGGTAAAGTCCAGCATACTTCACCAGAGGGAAGTAAAAAAAAAAAAATATATATAAATAAATAAAAGAAACATATGCATGGATGAACTGTTTATAACCTGCATTTAAAAAAACAGAGACGATAAGTTTTCATGGCAAATTTAAAGGAACAACAAAAAAAGTTACCATTCACTGAAAAGCTCTGACTGACATAATTGATGATCAATGCCATGTGGTCACATTTTTGTATTGCATTTTGTACTGTTGCCAGTAACAATGTGACGAATAGTTTGAATATAATTTTCAGTCAATAATTATTTGATTTGTATCATATGTCTTCATTAAAATGTTAATAAATAATGAAAAATTCAATAATTATGTCTTTTAGCAGACTTTCAGAATGATATACAGTAGCACACCAGTTATTTGTGTAACTTTATTACATTCATGATGCTTTTTTGTAATTTTTATAGCTTGACAGCATCTGTCTCCTTTTAATTTCATTGCTTGGCATTGTCTTTTTCATTGTGTGGTTTGTAACGACAAGTGTTGTAATGATAATAGAGTAATTGTTGACAGAAATTGAGTTGAAATGTCTTTTATCAAAATGTAAAGGTACGCTTCAAATGCTCTGGATTGATGAATGTTTTTTAAAAAAAAATGTATGCCACCTACACTTTATGTAGATAAAGATGTGATGTAGCTCTCATTTGGTCATCACTTTGACACCTGTCTGCCCACGCCCATAACTACACCTACATCATGAACCAGGACCCGAATTTATAAAGAGAATCTTGTACTCTTACCATTTTAACTTCTCAATGCTTTTTCTGTTTGAACCATTCTTAACAACTTCGGGATTTTTCATTTCAACACATTTTACATGCGATCTGGGCTTCGTTTTAAAATGTCTTCTTCAGGTTTACGTCTTGGGCCCATTTCTGGCAGAAACAATTTTCAGTTTCTTTTTCTTTCTGTAGAAGAATCACGTGTACAAGAAGACACTCCAGGCTCTGATTTACCCTATTTCTTGCACAACACCCCATAACTTTGAAGTGTGGACGGCCACTACGCCCACCTACTGCTATGAGTGTGAGGGTTTGTTGTGGGGTATTGCGCGGCAGGGCATGCGCTGTTCAGAGTGTGGTGTCAAATGCCACGAAAAATGCCAGGAGCTTCTCAATGCAGACTGTTTACAGAGTGAGTCACTAACCAAATACAGAAAAACAAGCAACAACAAAACAATCCTTTATTTATTGTTACTTTAGTGTTGCATACTGTAGTTATAGTTAGCTGTTTATTTAGTTCAGTATTTTTTGGCATTATCCCTTATGAATCTGTGCCATTGTCAAATGCCTTTTAATGAACGTAACCAGCTCAGTGAGGAGAAAGCATGCAAAAATGTGTAAGAAATATTATAAGCTTATGCACTAGAACACTAATTCTCAATATGCAATTTATAAAATAAATATGCTCATTTTTAAATTCAACATTGTACTTTGAAATATAATTTGTAATGCAAAAAGGTACAAATGTAAAATAGAAACCTTTTCACTAGTTTAGTATACAGTGTTTAACATGTTTTCGTTTTATTTTGCAATTAAATGATATTATTAAACGCATCTCTACAATTGCTAGGAGCTGCTGAGAAGAGCTCCAAAACAGGAGCAGAGGACAGAACCCAGCATATCATATCGGCCATGAAGGACCGCATGAAGATCCGAGAGAGGAACAGGCCTGAAATCTTTGAGATGATAAGGCTTGTGTTCAGTGTGACTAAACTGAACCATGCTCAGCAGATGAAGGCCATCAAGCAGACTGTTCTTGATGGAACATCAAAATGGTCTGCCAAAATCTCCATCACAGGTACGGAAGCAGGGGCAGCTGTTATTGCTCTGATACCTTTCAGTGATCGAAATATTCAAGGAGTAGTTTTATAAATGCAGTTTTCTTATGGGGCTTTTAATAACATGCACTGTGCCAGCATTGGAATGCATTTTTCCATTATTTTTATTTTTTTTGCTGATTGTCGGTTAATCTAACAAGAGTCTTCATGTGTGTTTTCCAGTGGTGAGTGCTCAGGGCCTGCAGGCTAAAGACAGAACTGGTTCCAGTGATCCATATGTGACCGTTCAGGTTGGCAAGACTAAGAAGAGAACCAAAACTATCTACGGTAACCTTAACCCTGTGTGGGAGGAGACGTTCAACTTGTGAGTCTTATACAATATTTTCAGTTCTCTTTGTGCTTTTGGAATCCTGTCGTTTATCTGCTGTGTTCTTATTGGTGAATTTAATCACAGTTTGTTTGATTATTAAAGGGGTCATATGATGCGATTTCAATTTTTCCTTTCTCTTTGAAGTGTTACAAGCTCTTGGTGCAATAAGAAGATCTGTAAAGTTGCAAAAACTAAAGTCTCAAATCCAAAGAGATATTCTTTATAAAAGTTAAGAGTCAACCACGCCCTCCTAAAACGGCTCGTTCTAACACGCCCCCACATACCTACGTCAC